CTAATATTTAAATTATTTATTTTATTCAATTCCTTATATATATTTCCTTAAATCACTTTTATATCATTTACTTCCTTTAAAATAATAGTATGATTTTTAACACATTCTTGATGATTAAAATACTCTACCTTATCAGCAGAAACATTCTGCAGATTATCTTTTATATTTATCTGAATTTTATTCAAAGAATTTGGATTTATTTTAAAATTAATTGAACAATATTTGAGGAAATAATTTTACCTGAGGTTTTTACCTCCTGATACCCTAAATTATTTACAACCACCAAATTATTGATATTATCCGATTCTTTAATTATAGTATTTTTAGATATATCCTGTATTTCCTGTAATATTAAATTTAAAATATTATCTGTACTATTTTGTACAAAAAATTATTTATTTTACCTAACGTATCTGATTTTCCCATGTATTATTGTAAAATATATTATTAGTAAAATTACTAAAAAAAATAAATATAACATTATTATTCAGATCATACTTATTAATACCTTTATTAAGTATTTCAATAAGTATGTTCTTAATATCTGATAAGAATTACTACTATGGTGATTATAAAAAACAACATATTTCATAATATATTTAAATTACTAATTTTTTATTCCTTTTAAAATAATATATCGTAATTTTAACCTATCCTTAAATCTTAAATGTTTTTCGCGTTAATTTTTAACTTATTTTATTACCCTTTAAATTTATTTCTTTAACAAATTTATAGGAGAGAGAGAGAACCATATGCCTAATAGATACCCCCGCAACCTCCGCGACTCGGCTGATCCCAATTCAATTTTTTGAAGACACTGTGAGGCCTAAAGGGGCCTCGAGATTTATTAATATAAGAGCCCTATAACATATATTATGGGGAAAAGGGGAGGGGGGGGCACTATATTTGCGTTTCTGAACCGGAAATATAGTAAGTCTTAGGCCATATGAGATATCTTTCTATATACTAATTTCTAAGGGCTTTTTTGTTTTAAACAAAAATAAATTATATAATGCTTAGGACTATAATTTTTTATTCATGTTGGACAACATGTAGAGGATTTTTTGTGATTCATTATAATTTTATACCTGCAAAAGTTACTTTTTAGAAACTTTTTTTCAAAATTATTTTATTTGTTTCTAATATATAGAAAAATATATAATGTTATATAAAACTACAGAGCATTACATGAAGCTATATTTTAAAAAAATATATGAGCCAAAATAATTTTAAGAAAAACGAATTTATAACATTTAAAAAATAAAAATTAATAAAAGTTTTTGCAACCCAAAAATATCATAAGAGAAAAACTTTTTTTTAATATAGAATATTGATCAATATCTAGCCCTAAATTATGATACAATTATTAATATCATGGTGGTAGTGTAATGGGTGGACAAATATTCCAAGGTCACGAAAATTCCTTAGCCGGGTAAGAGTAGATGCTCAAGGGAAGGGAGGGGGGTACTGTTAAAATAATATTTAGAAAATATATACTAATCAAAAAACACTGGATGTTCTAATTACTCTACTTTTTTTGAAAATGTTTGGGATGTTAGGTAGGGGAAAATGGCATGCACCAATATATTCTTTAGAGCTAATTGTTTTAAATTTGGCTAAAAGAACAACTTTTTTTAGCACTTTTATGCCAAGAGTTAAAGAAAAAGTATACGATTTATGACCTAGCCATAAGTTAGCTAAAGTATCAAAAACATAATATCCTCCGGTGTCCTGTTGTCCGATAGCATTAAAAAAAGGCAATATGTTTTTGAGAAAAAGACATCATGTGAGAGTAAAAAATAATTAAAATTTGATGGCAAGAGGAAATAAAAGAGCCCAAAATAAATTTGGAAACTTTCCCCCAAAAAGGCTCGTGAACATCAAGTGAAATTTGACATTCAATTATTTTGATATAGAATTTATTATTTTAAGCAGCCTTATTGCTTATTGAGGACTCTCGATTGCAAAAATTTATGAATCCCTTTTTATCCGGGCTCATGTTATAAACAGAGAAAATATATCCCTAAAATTAATCAAATTGCCCAATCCATTCGAACCAATATATCAAGAAAGATGAAGAGATAGGAGGAAAACTTATAAACGTAAAAGGTGATGCTCTTCAAATACTTAGCAGGTTAATTAGGGGATAAATGTTCAGTTTCTATCGAAGACTACTATAATTTTAAAAACTCTTCTAATCTACACTATATCCATATATGTTTTATATTAATTTTTTAAATAAGTTTATATAATAAAAATTTTATGCTTATGATCATTTTTCTAAGGTTTTATTATATCCCGCTTAGTTTCTCATATATTTCTTAGAAACCAGATTATGGTTAATTTACTTACATAGTATATATTTTTAAGAGAAAAATATAAACTAATGGATTAAATTTAAATTATATTTGAACTGTAATATAAATATCATAATAAAAAATTGTCCCTTTTTTTATTTATAAATGAGTATAGAAGATTGTATTAAAAATATATTATAAAAATATTTATTTGGGAATTGTTAGTCTTTAAAATTTGATTAATATTTTTGGAAAGATTTTTTTTTAATAATATTTAATAAATAGACGAGAAAAAATTTTGGAGCTATTTGTTCAAAAGCATCTGCTCTGAAATGGACCTATTTCCTATTCCCTGCATACCAGGAGTTTACCTCACCCTTGAAATATGTAAGGAAGTAAATGTCTCTTACTCTCCACCCCCTCCTGCGGTCATGTAGACACTGCATCTGAAATTGAACTAAGAAATATGTTATGAATTATTGAGAAAATACATGTTTCTATGATGTTAAGAGACATGTTTCTCGACAATGCAATAAGGAAATATAGGTAATATCCCAATGATTTCTGCAAACCAATTAATATCATTTTATATTTTTTATGATTTTAACTTTATTAAGGCTATAAATTGAATGTGTTTTATATTGCATTCGACTTAGGGGAACGTTTTAGTGGTGTGATTCAAACAGATTTTTTATTTTACTCCCATGATAGGATAGGCATAAAAAATGAATAATATTAAAGAGCTTTATTCCTTTTAGAAATTAAGCAAAATTCTCGAAGAAATTAATTTTCAAACAATTTACAAGATGGCCAAATGCAATGACCTATTAAATTGGTGATCATCAACTATATGGCAACTCACAAAATTGTAAATAAATTAATAAAATGTTAATGTCACGGACACTCATTTAAAATAAATATCATTATTTTAATGATATAGAATAAATATTTTATTTAAAAAGTGTTCTAAAATTATTATTTTAAAAATAAATTTTGAAAGATTAATAATTCAACTTTAGCTAAAATAATTTACAATAATTTGATCATCTTTTAGTTTATTATAATATGAAAAATGGTTTTCATATTTTATTTGTCAATAAAAAATCAGAAACCTGCAGGCCGGGCCATATTTTAATTTTTTTATAATATATCCAGGCCGGGTCTAAAAAATTTTTTCTTTAGAAATGCACAGGCTGGGCTCATATATTTCAAAACGAAATATTTTAAATCTCCATTATTAGCTATAAAAAATATAAATAAATATAATATATTTTAAAAAAATCAGGGCTGGGTCCTCCTGAAAATATCAAACCTGGGTCAGAAAATTTCTTACGGTACTTCTGCAGGTCTCTGATAAAAATGTTAACACAAGGCAGATAGCTCTAATGGCTTTTTAAAAATCTAATTTAAAAATTTGATTAAGGACCGGATAGCAGTGGACTAACATAATAAAATTTTTGGAGTATTTACAATTTATAGTAAAAATTTCTCCGTGAGAAAAATGAAAAAAATTTTTAAACAACATTTTGAATTGAACCAGAAAAAAAGTTTTGGGTAGTAGGCATTATTACAAAACCATAGTAGTTTAAAACTGATAGTGACAATTTTCTATGTTCTACGAGGAAAAATGAAAAATGTCAAACAACCTGATTTTAAATCGAATAGAAAGAATATTTAGGTAGGAGACAATCGTTCTTTAAAAGTTGTTCAAATTAATAGAGTCAATATTCCTTACTTCACGTGAGATAAAGGTCAAAATTTGTAACAAAAATTAATACTCTTCTACTATCTATCACTTTTTAATACTCATTTGCTACTCCTATTTTAATTTTTCCCCTTGAAACAATTTACAAAATATAGAGCTAAAATTATTCAAAACAACTAAATTTTAAAAATTAAGGCAATAGATTGATCAGAAATAAAAAATTAAGGCAGAAATTTAAGATCTAGTTGTGGAGAGGGTGGGGGGGGGGGGGGGTGTTAGGTGGTATTTAAAATAATCTGTTTGAATTGAATATTATATTTATTTTACTAACTTTTTTTCATTATAAAGGAATCCTATATAATTAGAAAATTCGTATATTTAAAAAAATGTTATAAAATCCCTACACAGTTGGCCCAATTTTTTTTTTATCTAATTTCCCAACCAGACGCGAAAATTTTTTGTGTTTGCCCGACCCGACTCGCTATAATATCTTGACTGGCTTTGCAGATCTCTTATGGATATTTTTACAATTAAAGTCCTAGTTACATTTTTTGGTCACAAAAAGTAAATACCAAGTAAAAATTTAGATAACATTTTAAATCCAAATCCGTTGCCCTGATCGGACTTCAAAATATTGTAAATAGTCAAATTGCATCTTTAGTTACTAGTTGTAATATAAAATGACATAAAAATTTACTCATAAGCTTATCATTTTTTAATGTATATATTTTATATTTTACAATAATTGATTTGTAATATAAATAATTATTAAAATTAATTTAGTTGCTTTAATTATGGTATGAAAATCAATGTTAAGGACATTAAATATTGACTGCTTTCTGAAAAGTTACTAAATAATTTTCACTTTTTAATTTAATATTTTTTACCCTTGAATTCTGGACTTATAAATGGAAGTCTATTCCAAAGTCAAATAAATAATGAAAATAACAAGTGTCAAATACTAACTAATAAAATAATTATAAATAATTTTATTCTAGACAACTCAACTGATTTAAATGGGTCTCAAATAGATAATAAATCTCGTCGCCCGAGAACCGCTTTTACCAGTCAACAATTGATAGAACTTGAACATCAATTTAGGATGAATAAATATTTGTCCAGACCTAAACGTTTTGAAGTGGCTACCATGTTACATTTAACAGAAACTCAGGTATATGTACACTCGTAAATTAAATAAATAAATTTTTTAACTCAAATCTAGAGAAAAATTTTAAAAAAATCTTTGCTTAATTTGTATGAAAAAAACAATTATATACTAACTTATATCAAAATATATTTTCATTTATGGCATTCCAGCTTATTAAAAGATTATAAAACAATTAAATTTTTAGAATTACAGCCTAAATTAATTTTTTTATAGATAGGTTTATACGAAACTTTAAGAATATATACTGATATAAATTTCGTAACTATAGACCGATTTCGACCTAGTTAAGTCTAATCAGTAGAACACATCTCTTAATACTATGTATGTACAATGACTACGTGTATATAACCACTAAAATTAAATTAATGTATAGATATGAGTTAACTGAACAAAATTTATTATATTAATGCTAGATCTTAATTATTTTTATATTGAATTAGATGGAATAGATTCGCTTAAATTAATAAAAAGTGATTTTATAATCTCTTAATCATTGAATTGCCATGAATAAAAATATATTCTGATATAAATTACCACATATATTATACAACATTTAAATAATATACTAACTTAGTTTGAATATTAGAGACCTCCAGAAGTTAAAATTTTAGACCCGGTCCCGATTTGAAAAAAAAAGAAGCATTTTCAAGTCTGATATAATCTTACAAAAGTACTCTATTTAAAAAGTAATCTATTTGATATTTATTTTCTGAAACCAACTTCAGGGTATTGCTAAAAGGATTGCAGATATGGAGTAAGGTTAATATATGTTAAAAAATGGTTTACTAAAATTTGGTCGTTGTTTAATAATATACTATATGCTGAACATCAAAGTGCATTTTTATTAGCTAAAGTTTTACTTTAAATCTGTCACTCACATGTATAAAACTGCTAATTTGATGCAACATATGACTGGTCATATCTGACAGATTAAGTAATGTATGAAAGATAACATCTGTCGACTAATGTATTTTCTTAATATTCTCCGACATTCATATACCCAGATACTAGTATATGGATATACCTAAGAACTTAACATAATATTAATTCTAATTGTATTTTCCGATTGTTATGCTTTTTTTGTACCATTACTATAAGCTTTTTAAACTTTATTTAAATGATCGCCTTAAATAATTGGATACCAATATTTTTTAACTAGAGTACTTTTTTAGATTATACTAGCCTGAGATTTTTTTAGAAATTTTTTGGCTCGGCCAGGATTTTTATTTTTGATTTTCTATGGCCCTGTCCGGAATTTGTAAAATTTTATTACTTTAAATTTTGGCTATATTTTGAAAATTGTTTCAAAGGAAAATTAAAAATATGGGCTATAAATGAATATTAAAAGCTTCATTCTACGATTTTCCTACAATTTTCTAATCAAATCAAATATTTATTTTTTTTAAGCCCGGCTTGGATTAACATTCATATTATTTTGGGCCGGTTCCAGGCTGGGTCTGCAGAAAATATTAATATTTTGTTTATTTATCATTTAAACACCATACAGATTATAATATATCTATATTATTGTATTGTATGAATCATTAAGTCAATTGCAAAGTTTTTAAATTTTATTTAAATGAATGTTTTAAAAGGTTAAGATATGGTTTCAAAATAGAAGAATGAAATGGAAGAGGAATAAAAGGGCAACGATTCATGAAAATTAAAAAAAAATACATAATAATAATCTTATTTACAAATTTTTCGAAAATAAATATGTAATAAGTATAGTTTGTAAATAATATCTTTAATTTTTTTTCATTGCCTAACAGAGTATGAAACCCTCAGAACCAGGTCAAATCTAAAGGGTATAGCCTCCCTTAAAAATTTAGGAACTGGAACAAGAACCCTCTTATCAAAATGTTCCGAACCCGAAAAACCCTTTTTATTAAGGTTTCAAACTGATTAAATTTTCTCAACTTGAGGGATACGAGATATCCACCTAGATATTAAAATAAAACTGATTTATAATTATATTTTACTAGACGAGTCATATATCTTATATTTATTTTTGAAGCAGGAATAATAAAATCTCTAGATTAAATTTGCCAATATTCTAGATTTACACAGAGTGTGATAATATGTTTTTAGTTTATAAAATTATTAAGATTCCAGATACGTCAAATGGAGAGTAAATCTAAATGCCTCGATTCTAGGCTTAGAAATAGTAGTTACAAATGCACTTTTTTGAAATTAAATATTATAAGTATTCTAAGGATTTGATTTATATTCTATCATATACCAATATAATGTCAATGTCTATGTGTTACACTTATATTCGGTTGTATTATTCTATTAAACGTAATTGAACGCGTTTTTTAAATTTAAAAATTTTCCGCAAATGTTTCCCAAAATGGAAAGAAAATTTTTATTATAAATTTTGGCATAGAATTTTGAACTATCTTTAATTTATATTTATTCAATAAAAAAATGGTAAATAATATTTGAGAAATCTCAGTTAGCAAGGTCAAATTCTTTAGATCGTAAATAACAAATGTTTAAATTGAATATGGTTGAAAAGATTTTTTATTGTGCATGTAGAGAAATTTTTTTGAGACATTATGAAAAAATTTTAATTGATTCACAAACATCTTTCCAGTAATTTGTGCATAGTTGAAAGGACTATTAGTTCGCTAACATATTTAATAAAGGAAAATTTATGAATCACCTCTCATCAATATATGGGTTCATTTTTTTATTCACCTCATAAAAATAACGCAAATTTCGGATTTACCCGTCATTAATGAACATAAATATCAAAATATATATTTAAAATGTTTATAGATTTAATCAGATTATTTATTTAAAAATATTCGTATCATAGATGCTATCAAATTTAATTATTTTTTAATTAAAATAAACAAGATAATTTCGATCTCAATAAGGAATACACAAATAAATATAATGATCTAGTAAAAGTATGGTTTGAGAAAATATACGAAATAAAACTACAGTGAAGAGGGGGATATTTTTCACCAGATGTTAAAACAAAATAAAAGGATGTTATTATATTTTTATTTTAATGATACTTAAACATTAATCTATGTTAAAAAAATATTAAACAACTTTTTCAAAAAATGCCACACTTGAAGTTTATAATTAAAAAAACTTTTTTAACATAAAAAAAACATATTTTTTCACATATCATTTACATAATTTAATATTTTTGTATATTTAATTTAATATTAATTAATTTTTCAATCTTTACATATATAATGTTTAATATAGACTACTTACTTTATAATTTTAATAACTCTCCTTTACTCCCAAGTACTTCTGTAAATTATTCTTTGCCAATCTCAGATGGGAATGATATGGAAAATTATCAATCACATTCTAGCATTTCTGCAAATAATAATTCTTTAGCAACTATTAATGAAAATATAAATCATTTTCAATTATCCTCCATTCCTAAACCCAAAAGAACATACAATTGTTGGAACAAAGATAAAATTGAAATGGTAATGAAAATTTTAGCAATGCCATAGGAAGAACAGATGAAGATTAATGACATTGCTAAATATGTTAATATGTCGAAGGCCTCAATACATAAAATAAAAAGGGATACATTCCCAGAAATTATTGGTGAGCCTTTAAAGGAATTCTCTCTTAAACAAAGAGGGAGAAAAATAAAAGATACAGCAAACATTGAAAGGCAAGTTATGGATTTGCTAATGGACAATAATACCTTCACGGTGAAGGATATAATTGAGAATTTGCCTTCTGGTTCGCCAAAAAATATTGGAACCATAAGGAAATATATCAAAAACATCCGATGGTCCAAAAAAAGAGCTGGGAAAGAATCGGATCGCAGGAATACACCAGGAGCTATCAATATTTGGCAGGTGTATTGCCGCAAATTGCTGAACATCTCCAGAGAAAGACTCTATTTTCTCGACGAAACAGGCATCAATTTTCATGTTGTACCTGTCTATGCTTGGGCACCACTCAATGTTAAACCAACAATAAAGGTTCCATCCTCAAAAGGGAAAAATGTAAGTGTACTTTGCTCTATAGGAATTTGTGGAGTTATACATTATAAAATCATCGAAGGATCATATAATGGTATATTATTCCGAAATTCGTTAATGGAAATTATTAGTATGTTACCACCAGATGCCATCTTAGTTATGGATAATGCTTCTATACATAAAAGTCATCTAATTGATGCCTTTAAAGAGAGAATAGAGTATCTCCCCCCATATTCACCACAATTGAACCCAATTGAAAATTTTTTCGGGGTCTTCAAAAACAAATATAGGTCATTAATTCCCAGACCAAGCACAAGGGAGCACATAATAACAAATATTAATCAAATTATGCATCAATTTATTCCTTATGATTTTACAAATTTTTATAATCATATGCAACAATATTTGGAGCTGGGCTATCGTGGACTACCTATTGACTAAAGTAATCTAATTATATAATTAATTACGATTAACATTTTTTAATATTTTAATTAAATAGGTACTACTAAAAGCAAGCAATTTATGACTATGAACTACCATTAAATATTTCATATTTTATATAATCAATATTCATGTATTAATGTAATTAAGAATTTATTATATAATGTATATATGTAATATACGAATTGAATAAAATATTAAAATAAAATTATGTCTCAAATATGATAAAATAAAGTGAGAAAAAAAAACTATTTTCAGAAATAAAAGATTTTGACTAAGATCTAATAACTAAGATGAATAATTTATCATTATTTTTAAAATTATTCTACACAAAATATCGTTAACTAAGTAAAGGAAAATATGTGATGACAAAACTTTATATTTTTTTATAAAAAAATTTTTTAAGTGTGACATTTAAAAAAGTTGTTTAATATTTTTTTAACATAGATTAATGTTTAAGTATGATTAAGATAAAAATATAATAATATCCTTTTATTTTGTTTTAACATCTAGTGAAAAATATCCCCCTCTTCACTGTATATATCATAATTTGTGGATAACGCCTATTCGCGCAAGTTTTAAATAATCAAGAAAGTTGCCATTAGTAGCTTAGATTGCCCAATCTGGCAAAATTTTATTCTTTTGTTTAGTCACTGATAATTCGGCTAAGAAATATACAATTTTACAATCATTTTTTCGGGATTTTGAATACGCATTCAATTCTTTCATATCAATAAAGAATAAACATTAAAAAATAAATATATACCAAATGCAGTTATTTTAGCTGAAATCATGTTGAGTACATACCCAAATGTATGGAACAAATACAAATATGCAAAAAAGTTCTAATCTTGTCACAAAGAAATTACTAAATATTTTAAATGAAGAAATAAACGCACAAAAGTTTTTTCAAAAAATTTTGTACATTCATTATGGACATATATTGTAAATTTAAATTTATTATTATAAATATCAAATAAAATCACATAAAAAACATTTATTTAAATTATTGGTCAAATAACGGCCAATAAAAATGCAATTTTTCATTAATATTTGAAAATAAAATTTATTAGTTCATATAACATAATTTAATTAAATATGATTGCGATGATATAATGTAAAAAAAATAAATCAAATTATAAGTATTAAAAATTATTATCTTTCGGGATGAGGCGGCCCACAAAGCTTATGTAAATAGCCTTGAATAGACTAGCCTCTGCCTCAAAAAGAAGCCTGCATCAATAAGTAGCTCCTTAAAAATAATAAGGCGAGCTTCCAAAAGGTGGTTAATATTACGATTTTTATTCAGTGCTTGTAAAATGATTGAGTTACATAAATTACGTCTAATGAATCGACCATTACATGAACAGCATTAAAGCAAGTGTCGTCTATTTCCTTCGACTGGATTGCTGAGGCCTGAGCAGGTGAAGTTGAATTATCAAGCAGTTTAAACGGATACCTATGGCATAGGTGAGCTTATTTTGGTTGAGTTATAATATATTGACCGAGGGAATTGCCTCAAGAAACACATGTCCCCTGCCGTTTAGCAGTGAAATGTATTATGTGCGGCCTGTTAAATGCATTCTGGATAAGAGTGTTTCGTCGCAGCTTGCAATTATAGATCTATCTCAACCCTTCTACCTGTTGGTTTCGGAAAGAGGGAGATCGGCTTTAATCTGGAGCCCAAGTTCATCAAAGGAAGGATCAGATTTCAATGAATTGGCATTGGTTAATAAGATACTGGAAATTAATGCGGGAGTGGGGGATATGATGTCGGATCGTACATATTTGCTAGGTATTGAGTGTGTCCATAAAATTTAATTAAACTTAAGGTCTATTGTATTTTTGGCAAAATCTTACATTCCAAATATATGGAAAAATGCATTTAAAACTAAATTAATTTTGTGAATTAAAAAGTCCAAATTATTAAGTTACTTTTATCAGGTTAAAATAGAGTAACATTATCCATAGAATAAATGCTTAAATTCTGAGATTGGTGTCAGCATTCATTTGGGAAATTTAATGGGATCTATCTTTTGGAAAATATATCCACTATTATTATTTAACTTTATCTGCCACTTTGCTCGCAGGGCTACCTTCCTCATATTATTTGATATAATTCAGGGATCCAAACCGAACCTGAACCGTTAAACCGCTAAAAACCGGTATTTTTTATCGAACCCAAACCTCTAAAAAAATTCTGGCCGAACCTGAATCGAACCGCTAAAATGCCTCTGAACCGGTGCAACGTTCTAAATGAATTCCTGTTTTAAATAAATTCCAATTTAGTGATATTGACATTTATGACTGACATGTTAAGATTTAATATTATTTTTTAGTGGTATTGACATTTATGACTGACGCGCATATATTAAATATAATATTTTTAATAATACTGACATTTATGATTGACGTGTAAAGATCAAATTTTATATTTTCTATCGTTATAGATATTTAAGTAAATCCCTGTTTTAAATAGATTCTAATTTAGTGATATTGGCATTTATGACTGACATGTTAAGATCAAATATAATAATTTAGTGATATTGACATTTATGACTGATATGTAAAGATTAAATATAATATTTTTAATAATACTGACATTTATGACTGATATGTAAAGATTAAATATAATATTTTTATTAATACAGACATTTATGACTGACGTGTAAAGATTATATATAATTTTTAATAATACTGACACTTATGACTGACGTGTAAAGATTAAGTATTATATTTTCTATTACATTGATATTTATGGCAATTTTGGTTAATTTGTATTTAAAATTAACTCTTAAAGTTTTATATATTAATTTATGGTTAAGTTCGAAAATGTCAAATCTTAATATAGAGATGTGAGATAAAACAGGATTAGAAATAATATATAAGTTAATAACATTTATTAAATAATTTAAATGCTTTATTTAAATTGTATATAAAATTTACGCATATATAAAGATTAAAAAAGATATAAAAAATACATGCGTTATAACGATGCGACATAAATAAGATATACGATATAAATAACAAATAAGAAATGCGTTTGCAATATAAATAAAGGCAAATATTATGCCAGGCAGGGATCTGTCCAAATTAATTGATCATCCTTAATACACTTTAGTAGTGCATTTTGGATTGTCCTATTCACTCTTTCAAACATGCCATTTGCTTGAGGGTGATAAGCACTTGTCACCCTCTGCATGGTCCCTATGAGTTTGTGAAAATTATTGCTTATTTCATTCACAAACTCACGTCGTTGATCATTAATTTGATTCTATATATAATATTAATATTTTATTACCAAATTTATTATACTTTTGCCCTACCATGTGTGCATAATAACGAGTAAAGGAAGCGTGATACCGATTTTGCCGTTTTATCTTTTGAAGGCATGGCAACAATATATTTGCTGAAATAATCAACTGCTACAGCAATGTATTAATAGCCATCCTCACTTTCAGGCAAAGCACTTAAATCAACACCTATTTGTGTCCATACCTTTTGTATAATAAAAGATTGTTGTTATATTATATACTCTATTAGGAGGTTAGGTGTCATGTAATAGAGTAAAGCTCCTTACCATTATTTATGATTGCAGCTAAAAAAAACATAATAATAAAGAATGAGGTAAAATCTAAATTAGCTAAAAAATGAAATTACGATATATATATATATCAATTTTTACCTGAGATTGAAGGGGACTATATTAATTTTATTTATTATATTTTCAGATTATAAGTTTTAATTATTAGATTATATGCAAATTATATTTCTATTTTGGACTGTTATATTAACCTTAAAGAAACTAAAAATGAATATATGATATATTTCTTGTAAAAAAATTCAATAAAATTTAAATGGTTCAATATATGAAACCAACATAACTAATAAAAACAAGTGCCACATACATATAAGCTATAATAGACAGATCATTAATAAGGCTACAAATGAAAAATATAAAATACATAAACAAAAATTAGAAACAATTATAATGACCAAGCTATAAAAATTTTCAAATTAAGGATTTGTTATGTAATCAACTTTAATACCTTTGTTGGAATAGGAATTGAATGCAACTCATTGTTAGTTTTGTCAAATCTTGTGTAGCTACGCTGGCAAATATCACAACATTTTACAAAATTAACCACATCCAATTTCATATTTGGCCACCAGAAGCTAAAAATATAAGACATGATATAATAAATAGATTTATTATGCAGAAATATTTTACCTACTAGTCAAGTTGCTGTGAGTCTTGGTGATACCAAAATGGTCAGCTAAAGATTTTGCCTCATTAGTATCACATCCACTCCACTATAACTTTTTAAAGAAGTTAAACTCTTCTGTTACAATCTAAAATTGTTTCACTATTATAAAAATGGTGAAACAATTTATTATTGTGTATTATATTTAAAAATATATTATATAAAATATTATAATTTTTATATATTTTACCTATCAGCCAATTTTCTGTAAGTCTTGGTGATACCTGGGCAGCAAGAGATATTGCTGACACATTAGTATCACATAAAGATTTAAATAAACTTAATTGGAATGAAAAATTATCAGGCCCAAGATCATATCCAAAAATTTAATTGCAATATTTTTTTAAGTCAGCAAAGATTTAAATAGCTTAATTGAAATAAAAAATTAGTAGGTATCAAAATAAATAAATATTCTATTAAAATTGCTAAAATTTATTATTAGAAAAATTTACAATCATTTACTTTAAAAAGTTGAGTATTGGTATAATAGGTTTTTATGCCAGCATAGATTTAAATAAACTTAATTGGAATGAAAAATAATCATGCTAAGACCATATCCAAAAATTTAATTTATTGTAAATTTACAATATTTTTTTAAGATAGCAAAGATTTAAATAAACGTAATTACAATAAAATAAAGAATATTTCAGTGTATTTAGGCAATCATTTTATTTGCAATACTGAAATTTATCATATAGAAAAAATTTGCAATATTTTTTAAGTTAGCAAAGATTTAAATAAACTTAATTGGAATGAAAAATTATCAGGCCCAAGATCATATCCAAAAATTTAATTTATTGTAAATTTGCAATATTTTTTTAAGTTAGCAAAGATTTAAATAGCTTTGAAATAAAAAATTAGTAGGTATCAAAATAAATAAATATTCTATTAAAATTGCTAAAATTTATTATTAGAAAAATTTACAATCATTTACTTTGCAAAGTTGAGTATTGGTAGAATAATAGGTTTTTATGCCAGTTTATAGTTAATCGTTGTTATAATGCTATCAAATATATATAAATAATTTACTTTAAAATTAATTAAATTAAGATATTAGAAGGATATATTATTTACTACTTTGCAAAATTTGTAGGCCAGCAATATTTACAATTGATGTTGATAGATTCTTCATAATTCTGATTTAAACGAACTCCCACTTCAATCAAATATGTCAATATCACTAAAAAAAATAAGATTAAATCTTAACATGTCAGTCATAAATGCCCATATCACTAAATTAGAATCTATTTAAATCGGGAGTTCATTTAAAACGTTACACCGGTTCAAGTCTCATAATTTTATGCTTATAAAATAATGTGTAAGTTATTACTACTAGTATATTGCAAAAATTTTAATTATATTCAAATTGTTTTAAAAATTATTATCAATCACATTTGATTGATAAACGTCAGTCATATTTTTATAAACTTTAGTATATTGCCATTTTACAACATTTTTTAAATATTCTAAGGTTATAAATTATAATGCCTAGAAAAAAATTAAATCTAATATATAATTATTTACATATAGTATTATAAATGACACATCAAATCTGATATCATACTGGCAATGCCAGCTACCCAGGGATTCGAACCGAGCCCGAACCCGGAGAAGTGAACCCGGGTTTTTAGAAAAAAACTCTGAACCCGAACCGAACCTGAACCCCATTTATAAAATTTTCAAAACCCCGAACCGAACCCAAGAATTTTATTTGAACCCGGGTTCAATCGGGTTCAGTGTATTATTTAAAATCATATATTAATATATGTAAATACAAATATTATATTTTCAAATTTCCAATTAAATGAAGTCTTAATAAATTTTAAACAACTTAATTCATTTATGCCATTTTTAAATTTATTCTCGATTCCTATTGGAGTGTTAAAAAATTTTAAACAATTGAATTAATTTACGCCATTTATTTTTAAATTTTTATCTTATTATTCTTAAAGATTATTAATTAGAAGAAAATGGTTAACAAATCAAAGTAAAAATTATTATATTGTTAATTTAAAAAATTCTAAACATCTAACTTAAAAATTGTTAAATGTAGGGCAGTTTTTGTGAACTTATTAAAATGATTTTAAAATTTATATATGCTAATCATTTATTTTTGGTTCAGTTTAATTTTTACAAGATATTAATGAAGTGCATATTATAAATGAAATTAAATTTATAAATATCTCTTTTTTAATTCTGAAATCATTGCTATTTAAAAAAATTGTTCTCTTTTTATAGATTTAAGATTAAAGATAAAGTCATATTTGATAAGCATTTTACCCTTAATACAATAGAAAAAAAATCAATATGTTCATATTGCAAAGTAAAAATTTCTGGTAATCACTTGTCAAATTTAGAAAGACACCTGGAAAGAAATCACAACAATGAATATTTAAATTATTTAAATGAAAAAACCAAATATCAGGAATTGTTATTGGCAAAAAAACCTAAAATTAATATAGAAACCTTTTTTCCAAAAAAGCATATAAGTATAAATATATCATCTAATGATTTGATGAGTTCTATACTAGAACTTGTTACTGTAAATGGCCGGCCTTTATCAATTATTGAAGATTCGGGATTTCAAAGAATTATAAATCCACTCCTATCTGGGCTCAATTTAGTTATAAACAAAGAAAATTTATCCAGAACTATTAATAAAACAGCCCAATCAATTAGAGACAAAATATCGAGAGAGGTAGAAGGAAAATTAATAAGTTTAAAAGTTGATGCAGTTCAACGACTAGATAGGTCAATTCTTGGTGTAAATATTCAATTTATATCAAAGTCCATTATAAATTTGAGGACTCTTGGAATTGTAAAGCTGAAAGAGAGATGTACAGGAGAATATATAAAAGAGAATATATTAAAAACTTTACTAAAATTTAAAATTAATATTCAACAAATATACACAATTACTTCTGATAATGGTTGTAATTTTTTAAGAGCTATAAAGCTCCTGCAACCTGAAACTGATTATGTGAGGAAAATATGGATGTAAATGTATATAAATATGATATTGATATACAAAATACTTTTTTATCAACTATTATATCCTATCCGATTTATAGTGTACGGTGTGCAGCTCACACACTTCAGCTGGCACTTCAAGATGCTATAAAATTTTCACCTATTGTGGAAACCATTGCAAAAGCTAGAAGCCTAAATTTAAAATTAAGACATCCCACTTACCAAAAGTTATTAAAAATAATGAAACTCCCTAAGCCTGTGTTAGATTGCCGATGGCATTCAACCCATGATATGTTAGAAAGGCTGATTTTACTAAAACCCAATATCGAAGATTTTTTTACAGAGCAATCTGATTATTTATTGACTGAAGATTGGAAAGAGATAATAACGATTGTTGAAATTTTAAAACCGCTAAAAATCGCAACCAAACAATTCCAATCTAAACAGTTAACACTGACAGATTTTTATGCAGCATGGTTAAGATGCTGCATCGAACTGGAAAAAAATCCAAACCATTTTGCTCAATTACTATATTCTTGTCTTAAGAACAGAGAAGAAAGGTTTATAAAGAACGAAATTCTCTTAGCTGCCATATACCTGGACCCAAGATACAAGGTTAATTAAAAGCTTAGTAAATTAATTATTTTAGATTTATATTAAAATTGTTATTTTATAAAATATTTAAATATAAACAATATAAATCCTTAAATATTACAGGTATTACTTAGTGATGATGATAAGATTTGTGCGAAAAAACATCTTGTCAATTTATGGAGACGAATTAAAAGCTTAACAACGCCGATTTTATCTGATGATATTAGTTCCGATGAAGTTATTGAACAAGAAGATGATTTAGAGAAATTGATACAACTTAAAGAAAGGCAGGAGAAAATACTTAAAAGAGGGCCAACGATTGCTGAGAAAAGTATTGGAACAATAATTACTGGATTTAGCGATTATAAAAGATTAGATAAGAAGGAAAATATTTTGCATTTTTGGGAGTCTGCTAAGCTGGAACACCCTGAATTATATATTTTATCTAAAATCTTATTTGCTGTTCCTGCAACCCAAGTTAATTTTTCATATTTTCACATATAAATACATTTAACATAGGTTAGCGTTGAAAGATCTTTTTCACATTTGAAATTCATTCTTTCACCACATAGATCGAGGATGAGTGAACAACTCTTGGAAGATATTATGCTAATACGTCTAAATAAAATTTTAAAAATTGATACATGACTATATGCTTTGTATTTTTAACTATATTTGCCTATAAATAAAATAAAAAATTTATTTTTTATATCAAATTTATGTCTAGTTTTTTATTATGATTTAAATATATAATTTTTTTTATCAACTCAAAAATTCTTGAACCCGAACCGAACCAAACCCGGGTTCAAAAATATTTCCCTGAACCGAACCCGAACCGAACTCACCTTTTTTTTATACCCCGAACCGAACCCGGGCAAAAATTTTGTCGGGTTCGCATCCCTGCAGCTACCCAAGTTAGTGTGGAAAGATGTTTTTCAATAATTAAATTTATATTATCTCCTTATAGATGTAATTTGAGCGAGACGAATTTTGAAAATATTTTAATTGTGCAGCTTAATAAAAAATTTTAAGTAATTGTTCATATTAAAATTAAACATTGATATATTTATTTGTTATATTTATAAATTAAATATTATTTTATAATGTGCAATTAATAAAAATGAAGGTTTTTATTTTTATAAAATTTAAAAAAAAATTTCCTTATACATAATCCTAATGTAGGTCAGAATACAAAAGTAACCGATATTTTTATTTTTTTTGAACCGAACATGAACCTTGGAACCGTTATTTTTATCCGAACCTGAACCGATATTCGTTTCGGTTTAGATCCCTTTAATTCCTCAAATATTTATTATCTAATAAGAATTTTTGAATATGAGTATGATTCGTAGGATGCGGAAATGACTTATCAAGTTGCAGAAGCATTTAATTATTTCTGCAAATATAATGTTAGAATGAGGTGATTTAAATTCTTTAAGTACATATGAAAATAAACCATGTTTCAATATTTAACAAATGGAAAATAAAATTCAAATTCAAATAACAAAGATATAGCTGTAAATATCAGGTGGGTAATATTTCTCCCCCACCCCCATCGCAAATTTGTAAAGTTAATTATTTTTAAAAATAACGACTATAATCCAAACTTTTTTTAAAAAAAGTATTTTAATTTTAAAAAAGTCAAAACCCAAATTATTTTTATAAAAATCTAATATAGCCAAAGGCCTACAATAAGTGGACTTAAAGATCTCCTATAAAATTAATGGGGAAAAAATGTATCTAATAGTGCTTCCCCCCGCCCTTACCAAAATCCTGGATACGCCTATATGGTATGTATAATATATTTCATATTTAGGAAAATGTAAATAGCTATTTATCTTATTCGGATTTTATAATTTTAAATTAAATATATTAAAATCAATAAAATGACAGAGTAGAAAATAAAAATGTAGTTGTAATAATTTATTTTTTAGCAAACGAGATTATAAAATCTCTTTCTTATATTTTAAGTAAATCTAATAATTTAAATTACTACTTAAATTAATATTTAGAAAGATATTTAAATTTAAAGTACATATATGATAACAATTTCGCAACTGACCGATTTCGACCGTGATATGTCTAATCAATAAACATTATATCGATTATGTAAAATGATTATGCCTAACTCTGTGTACCTAAAAAAAATTAAAAGTAGCATATTTAAAAATTTTGTATTTAATGAGTATATCTATTAATTAATACAAAATATGTCTATCAATATTAGTAACGTTAATCTAAAATCTACATTATCAATCAAGTTAAACCCTAAATATAAAAATGTATGTGGTTAATTATGAATTTCTTCTATTCACTATTGAACCATTGGAAATGGATCCATAAAATGATTTGACATTAAAAATTTTAAATTAAGATTTCGCAAAGCTACTGTAAATTTATCTATTATAAATTAGGCATTCAATGTGATTTCTAAGTAAAACAAATTTAATAAATTATATTTGTAAATAAATTTATTATGTATAATATATACACTGCATTCTTTGTAATTATTACAACATAAGAGTTAAATATCTTTTTTTATATGAATATAATTTTATACTATTACAAATTATATCTTGTATTATAGAAACATTTGCATATAATATTTTTCTAATTCTTAACAAAAAATATATAATTTGGGAAATTTTACGTGCATTTAAATAATAAATTCGTATATTACACTATTAACATGCTATAAACTAAGTATTCATTTCAAAAATAAAATCTAATCTCTAAAAAATTAGCTTATTTACCATTCCCTTCTCGTTTATAAATTTTTATGAGCATTTAATTTAACTCCTCACGTTTTACCACTCAAGTTTAGGTGACTATTGAAAGAATTTTGTTGATTCGTAAAAATATTATTGCTATTGTGAGAATTTTCCAGGGAGGCGGTATCACTGTCTTCACTAATCGTAGGTGAAACAAAATATTTGTGCTGCTGAATTTCGTCTATTGATTTTAAATTTGATGATTTTGTTGAATGCTTGGAAATTTCGTCTGATGTAGAGAGAGAGGTAGAAGTCAATTTTAAGGATGAGTTGTTGAATAAGGACGAAAAAATGTCCTCATTAGTAAAGTTTATTAGTCCAGGCGGCAAAATATCGAAATCTGGTAGTCGATCCAAATGTAATTGGAGTTCAAGTCTGGTAGCGTTAACCTTTTTGAGTTTATCTCGGTAAAACTATGGAGGGGGGAGAGGTAATTTAATCAGGAATAATAATTTTATCAATTGATAAGAAATATAAGAATAAAAATACTATTTCGTAACATAGAAACCAATCCGCATCCAAATTCGGTAAGCGAGTAAAATAATAAAGGGGCACTTGACTATCATTATTTTCATTATGAAAATGGCGGCTCTTATATTAATATACCCAAGCCTAGTCATAGTATATATGGTACAAGCAGTGTTAAATATCAGAATAATTAACAATTAGTGGTTTGATATATAAGAATCTATTGTTGAAAGCTAATTGTATTTAAATTAACGATAGCTATTATTTAAATTAATATTAAATAATAATATAAGTGAAACGAAATTGTGGTTAATTAAAAAGAGAAAACAATTTTATAAAAAGGTATTATAAAATTGATAAGCCGATTAATCTCTAAATTGTTTGGGCTAAAAAAATAAGGAAAATACTCTTTTATGATAATCTTAGCTATTTTTCTAAAAATTATTTTTAAAAGCTTCAATTTAGATCATAATACTTTTATACATTTACAAAACAGTTTTGAACGAGTTTGCTCCTTTTACACTTTTAATATAATTCTGGTTCTTTATTGTTCCTATTCGGTTCGGTTCGCTCCTGATCGGTAATGTATTCTATTTTAATAAAATAAATAGATGTTTAATTTTTTTCAAATATATATTTACATATTTTTAAATCGGTCTTTTCAGTCCGATCCAGTATTTTGAAGTTGGTCCGGTCAAGGTTTTTGCCTTGCATTAATCATACCTATGAAAATTGTGAGTCACCCCATTCAATTTTAAGCCATCACCCAAAATGTTATATATGTTAAAATAAAGTTTGTTCATTATATACATATATATAAAATATTCTAATAATACTTTTATTTTGTCTTCCGTTTCACCGACTAATTTTGTTTGTTGATCCAAATAAGTCTTTAGAATTAGAGAAACCCATTTTCTCTCGTCTAATTCTTGTGACAATCTGTCGTTGTACACGTTTAACATGTCTAAAGCACCATCTATTTCGGCTTCTAACGTTTCGATTTCAAAGATATCTTAATTTTTTTTTGAATAACTTAAATATAATATAGTTAAAAAAAGACCTTTTATCAAGGTCAAAAATAGGTAATTTTAAAAGTGTTTAATTTATTTTTGAAAATTGGGGTATTTATGTCTGGATCTTTTTGTCCAGGACATTTCCCTCATAATTTATATTTAACGCTTCAATACTCCAGTAAAATAAATAATGTAAATGATCCAATGGGATGTAATAAACCTCAATTTCAAATGAATATATCTTTATTTCTATTAAATTAATTATTGATATAAGATACAACTAACCTCAATTATGAAAAATTTATTTATTTTAATTTATTATGCTTAGATAGTTGAGAGAAATGATAACTTGCGCAAAATTTTATAAAATAAAGCTCAATTTTTAAAAATTTTAAATATTGAAAAAAAATTGTCCATCAAAATTCATAATTTTGATCTTAATTCATCAATATAAAAACAGGATTTCATGAAAATGCTCAAACATTCATCACGTAAAGCATTAACATACTTCAAACTAGGGGTGTATACCTATACCACTTTTTGGAGGCCGATCCAATCCGATATTCCCGATGTTAAATTGATATCGGCCGGTTACCGATATCATATCTATTATCAGAGGTCAGTCTGCGGTGATGAGGACTGTAAATATCACTAGCTTCACTAAAAACAGATTCTGAAGAGATTATTGCACACTTTTATAAACAGAATGCGAAAAAAATAACAATATGGCAGAATGTTTATTAACTAATTATTACTATTAAAAATATTAAACATAAAATGGATTTCGATTTTATTTATAAAAATAAATGGTTTTTTAGATATAACTATTTTTAAAAAATTTTATATTTGTTTAAAACGCCATTTTTTTATAGGATCGAAAAATTTTATAATATTTGCCGATAATCGATATTTTAAAATGGGTGAAATATCGACCCGATTCGATATAAAATATCGGTACATCCCTAAATTATATATTATTTAATTCATCTTAGATCTAATTTGAATATTTTTTTGTATCATGCCCATCTATATAAGTATAAGAAAGGAGATAAAGAAATATAAAATCTAAATTTCTAATCCTTATTTTATCCAAATATCAATTTTGATAATAATATATTGATGACGCGATATCGTTTTCAACTAAAACAATCGATTAATTAATTATTGGATTTTCATGTCCTGGTCAATCAAAGGTTTTAATTAAATATGTTAATATTAAAATTAAGTCAGCGATTGGCATAAACCCTGAGTATGATTCGAATAAAAATTATAAAATCTATTCTGAAAAATATAGAGCATAAAATTTAAATAAATATGTTATTGTAACAGACCTAATATAAAATGATTTTATATACTTGCAATTATATAACTAAAATTAAATTTAAGACTAAAAATTTCTCAACTGAAAACACAAAAGTACATATCCATTTTCTAAACCTTTGGTCAGCATTTTTAGAAAACGAAACTTCTTTTTTACATATAATTATATTATTCAAATTTTAAAAAATTATCCAAAAAATAATCAAAACCTTGAATTTTGTCCAAAGCGGAAGTATCAGAAACCCGGGAAGGCAATTTTGAAATTTTTTCTCTAACTACTGCGTCACTCGATGCTGCATTTTCTAGATCATTTAGCATTTTAATGATATCTTCCACCTATGAAATAAATAGAATAAAAATATATTTGAATATAGTAGTTAAATTGTATTATACTACATTTTGCAAATATAAGTGTAACTAGTTTGTCATCTATCTAATACATGTTTATAACTGATTTATAATATTTAAATTATATATATATAGTAAATTTTTTTGCATTTATTTGGTCGTTGTTTGGCAAATTGCTATCCTGTAATAAAGTAATGAGGTTTCTGTTGAGTAAAGAGGCATATTTACTTGCTGGTTACATTACATTTTATTATTTAATGCTTTAATATAATTTTAAAAAATATATATGGATAAAAAAATATAAAACTGAGTTTTTAAAACAAATTAATCTCATTTCATACTGTACTTGTTATATCCTTTTATTGGTCTATCTGGATGCCATTAATTATATGTCACATATCCTCAGTTACTATTTTTGGAAATGTACGTCTACTGTGAAATGTATATAGCTTTACTCTTAATGCATTAAAATACAACTATCTCGTTTTTCAAACTTAAGAATAATCAATTATTTAGATAACGAAAATAGCAGAACACTGCATTCAGCCTATTTTTTATTCAACCGTATCCGAATTTTTTTTTATCTGAATGCAATAATTATTTTCTCAGAGATTCAATACCAATCCAAAATTTTTACGTTTTGGCAATTCGTTGATACAGTTTATAGTAAATTAGATATTTTTACTCCAATAAAAAGTACTAGTCTGACATTTCAATAATAATAAAGGTAAATTACGTCAGACATATCTTCATCACAAAGAGAAAACGTTTTTTCATATCTTGGGAATGAATCGTCACTAATTTTATTCTCCATATATATCTTATTTTTATCATTATCTTTCTTCAAAAGGAGAAAACAAAATACCGTTTCTTTTATTCATTTGGTCTTTAAGGTAATCATGAAAATAATTCGCATAATGATCTATAATTCTATAATATATTAAAAGGGTAACTCACTGAAACTCGGGGAACTTTTTAATATTATTTTTTTTTAATATTTTTTTATTTAAAAACAATAAACATGCAATCGTGTGGATATGGGTGGAAATTTTTTGATGTTATAATAATTCAAAGTTTCATTACTCAAAAGTTTTAAGAATTCCATATTTTTTTCTTGTGAAAATTTTCACAATTCTTTAATTTTACATTAAAAATGGAAAAGGTGTGTGCTATATTAAATGCTATTAAGTTAGGACTATAATTTGTTTTTTTGGTGAAAATTTTCAATTCTTTAATTTTACATTAAAAATAGAGTATATTATTTAAAATTTTTGAAAAGGCGTGTGCTATGTTGGATGCTACTAAGTTAGGACTATTAAATCAAATACTAGATAATTAAGCAATTTATTTGAATAAACATGATATATCTGATAATATATAGATATATATAATTTTAAGGAAAAAGATAAAGAGTTCTATATAAATTTATATTTAAATTTACTTAAATTTGAGGATATATTTTTAATATTACAAAAATAAGAATATTCACGTATATATAAATGAGAGGAAGAATTTCTTCTAGTTCTAGGGAATTTAAAAAAAATATTAAAAAAATTCTTATTGCATCGAAATTTAAAATTAGGCCAATTGAACGTAAAGTATGCAATTCTTAAAACTTTTGAGTAATGAAACTTTGAATTATTATTACATCAAAAAATTTCCACCAATATCCAGAAGATCGCATATTTATTATTTTTTAATAAAAAAATATTTAAAAAATATAAATAAAAAATAATAATATTAAAAATTTCCCCGAGTTTCAGCAAGTTATCATTAAAAGATATCCAATATATCGATAAGACTTAAAGAAAAGAAGAATGAAATGAGAGATTCTAACTCGATTGTATATTTCATTTTTTTTACATAATTTATTTTATATAAATATTACATCTCGATATTTGATTCGAAATTTACGAATAAGAATAATAAATTTAAATTATCGTACGAATTAATAGTTATTTATTTTAGAATTTGCAAATCGTAATAAAAAAAATTTTTTTTAATTAAAACCTATGTAAAGAAATTTTTTTAAATTTTCTGGCAATGGCGGTATTGAATTTGTGATGGTGACTTGTTTAAAATTTCCTAAAATTAAATTAAAACAAATATAAATAATAAGATTACGCAATCAAAAAGAAAAATAATTAGAGTTTTTCTATATTTTGTGACAGTTTAGTAGGGGCACAAATATGATTACAAAAAAGTATGCTTCTATGGCACATCTATAATAAACGCGATTAACCAAGCGATGAGAATTTTTTAGCTAATAATCAATCCAATAATAAATATAATCCTTAAATACCGAGCGAAATTATAAAATCGCGACAGCTATTTAAGTATATTTCTAATCTAATCTTAGCACGGTGGGCTAGGAACTGTCTAAGATGAGCGCACGTGAATTAAACCGAGGCCCATACTCTGCATAATTATGCCAGTATTTTTTTTATCAAGTAAACATAAAAACTTTGTGCTCAAAAATATAATAAAAGGGTAGAACTAACCCAACCATGTTATATCTTGTGATTTATATAAAACTTAAAAGTATAGATAAAGAAGGGAAGAAAGGGCCGGAGTAGATCCTCGCCATGGGTAAATTTTAAGTTATTATTCCAGGAAAAGTTATTGTAAATAAATAATATGGAAAGCCTATTAAGTAGTAGTGTTGTTAAACGGCTCGATTTGAGCCGATTTTTAAAAACGGCTCACTCAATATATTATTCAGAAAAATATTACGCAGCCTAATATTTTGCTCATATATGGCACAAAGATTTGGACATCTATTAGAGAAATCTCTAGGCATATGCAATATTTTTCTGGCTGAAATATGGAGTTAGCCGTTTTAAAAAATCGGCTCAAAACGAGCCGTTTAACAATGCTATTTAGTAGTGCATATTATTCTCAAAAATTTATGACGATCAATAAAATAAGACTAAAGAAGTGTAATAATGAAATAAAGCGGGTTAGTTCAGAAAAATATAAAAAGCCAGTGCAGACCTAAACATTAATAAATAATAAAATATAAAGTAACGTAAAAAGAAACGTGATACATTAATAAGTTTTTTAGAAAAAGGTAACGATTTTAATATTAGCGTTACTTTTGTACACATATAATATAGCAGTAATATGGAGTAAAAAAATAAAAAATAACAGATTATTTTTTACTTTTGTTTGAAAAATCAATCATAATGACTAAAATTCCTAAACCGGTCTCGAGTTCAGGGAAAAAATAGATTAGGGTCCGGGTTCAGTATTTTTGGGTCCAGGTTCGGAAAAACGAGCAAAAAATTTAAAAAAGATGGGCGGACCCGGGCCTAATTTATATTTTTAATTTTCGGACCAGGTGCATTTCAATATCTTTAAAATATTTGGACTAGACTTTGCGGACAAAAAATATAATATTTTTTGGACCTAACTCAGATTTCTTAAAGAAATGGACTGGGAGGATAAATTTTTTAGATTTTTGTTAGGGCTGGGGACCGTGAGAAACCGCTCAGATGAAGGGCTCTAATTGAGAGTTTTTTTAGATAATTTATTTATTATACCCTTTTTGGTAATAATTATTTTTTAAAGGTTTTCATGCATGCTCCATTACTGATACATATTCCTTTATAAATTAAATAAAACGGTTTAACCCTATAAATCAATGAAGGTGGGTTCAGATAGGCCGAATCCGGGTCCAAGTTTGGTTTAGTTAGATCTAGATCCGGTATATATAGAAAATAAAAATAAGAGTTAAAAAAACTTACAATAGCTATAATAAGGAATCAAAATACAGAATCAAGTTTAGACATAACCTAGTATTTTTCTTATCTTTTTTAGAAATCAAACCTAAATGACTAAAATTTCTGAATCCAGGTTCAAGAGAAAAATCGAGTTTGGTAATCTTTAATATCTTAGGGCCCAGATTTGGAAAAAAAGAGTACCAAACTTGGATTCAGAGATCCAGAACCCTGAATATTTAATATAAATCTAGAAGTATTAATAAGCATGGGATGGGGGGGGGGGGGAATGCAGGATTATCCATAAATAATTTGCAGATTTTCATAAATATCATTTTCAAGTAAATAAAAATTACCTCCCTACAATCCCTCCCCCCTCCTCTTCAAAAAAAAGAATACATTGTCACTGCAAACAATAATTTAAAAGGCCTTGCATTTTGTGTTGTATTCTTCATTTATAAGATATTATTGTTTGAATTGAAGTAGTGTAAAAAAAGACAAAAACGTTTCTTTAAATGCAAAAAAAAATATAAAAAAAAGTATAAAATAAGGATGTTCAGATATTTTTGTTTGTATTAAAATGTGGTTATAAATATTATCTTAGAATTGGCACATGATAAACAGTAAATATGCATAACCATCTAGAAATTTTAATACAACTTATAAAAAAAATTATCCTAGTGACATTATTATATAACAATTCGTAAGAGCCCTACAAAGCTACCTAAAACCACCAGACTTGGTGCTTATTTTTTTATAATTTTGGCTGGGCTAGGCATATATAATTTTTAAAATCCCTGCATGGTTTAGCCAATACTAAATTTCATGTCACTAATTAATTGATAACATTTGCCATGTTTTAAATTTTAATTTCATTATTCAAATTCAAAAAAAAAATATATAAGGAAAGGAAGTCAGGAATGAAAAATAAAATCAGCCTATTTTTGCCACCAATCCAATCATGAATAAATTGCTGACTGGATGCTGAATAGAACTTTTACAACTAATTCTAATGTCTTCTTTAAATAATTTTGTCTTATAACCAGTCTTAATGTTATATCAATATTTTAGGATATTTATGCATAAAAATTGCTACTAATTTTGAAATATATATACATTTATATCCAAGCCATTTTAATATTGGCACAGACCTATTTAAAAATAATTAAAACAAAATTGTGAAATACTCAAAAACTAAAAATGTAAAAAATTAATTTTTTTTTTAAAAAGATGTCATTTTTTTTAAAACAAATTTAACAAAATGAGCTAGGTATGGTATAATGATTGTGATATTAAAATTTTTTTTATATAATATTGATAGATTAAAAATTTGTTATAAGATATTAGTAGATTATAGTAGTAAAAGAAAAATTGAAATTTATTTTGACACCACCAAGTGATAACATGTGAAAAATAACATTAAAAACAATATTTGCATCTTTTAATTTTATAAAAAGCAATTTAAAAAAAAGTTTACCAATATTAAAAGTATATTATTTAAAACAGAAAAGCTGAAGAACTATAATCAAATATTTTTCAGAAAAGATGCATTTTAAAGAACAAAAAATGTAAAACCAAAATTATTTTTAAAAAATCTAAGATGGGAGAAGAGAATTCACTCAAATGTTACCCTCCCCTTATAAAATCCTAGCTATATCTATGAGATGTTAATAAAAGATAAGCTTACAGGTGGAATGGTAATATTATCATTTTTGGAAGTTTCATGCATTTCCTCTAATTCTGTCATAACAAAATCAAGATCGTCTTCAATATCATAAGCCTCATTTAATATCTTGTCATCTTTAATAATAGTAGGGGATGTAGTAAATTTTACCTTTTTAGGCTCATTATTTGTGCCTATATTTTTAGTTAATATTAAAAAATAAATAAAATACAACTTTTGGAATTTTCAGTTATCTCCTTGAGTTGATCAATAAATTCATTATCATATATACTTCTTTCACGCCATATTTGTAAAACTCTTCTAACTTTGCTCAAATTGTTTTCATCTAAATCCCTAATTTAATTATAAAAAAATAAATTAGATATAAAATATTTTTTTACTATTTATTTTGTATTGGAAAATAATGTAATAAATATTTAACTTAATCAAAGTGGTTATAGCAATTGGAAGAACAATTTTAAATTCTTTTGCATAATCTGGGGCTTTTTTCCTACCATTCTGAATTATGTCATTTGCAAGGTAGAGTAATATGATTCTTTTTTTATCTTTGGCTAAAAATATTTATCATAAATTATCAATAAACGGTATCCCATACCATTGTATATTTCTCTATGCCATATTTGTACAACTAATTTTGCATATTTTTTGTGATGTATAATCCAAAGTGAGAGAGTTTGAATGCTTTGTTGAGTAGTATTTAAGTCTTTTAATTTTTTCTCAAGACTCGATTCACTAAAATGAGACATTTAATGATAGAATGCAGATTCTATTCATTCATTCATTCATTAATATAACTACATCGGCTAATGATAATGCACGGTAAGCGTGCACTATTTTTTTCATGTTTTTCATAAATTAACAAGCACACCCGAATTTTTAAATTATATGCCCGAGTCTGGCCCAAGCCCGAGCACAAATTATTTGTTCTAGCCTAATCCATTCCCATAATTTTGGAGGTTTTACCTACTTTATTAAATAAAAGTATAAATTTCTTCTATAATTAAGATTTTCTGTATTTTCGTTTCTTTCGTTTTCTGGAGTTCTAATCTTTTTAGAAATTATTTTTATATTTGTAAACATTTTTATGAATATAAAAATCTAAGGCTATTTAATTGAATTGATTATACAAATGAATATATTCCATAACTTCATAACTGCTATAAGCAGTGACCCCTACACTTTTTGAGGGATAGAAGCAGAATACCCCCCTAAAGTACCCCCCCCCCCCCCCCATTGTAAATTATTTTTTGACACCAATAAATTTCAAAAATAATTTTTATTGCATCAATATTTATTATAATATAAATATAATGTAAAAAATATATGCTTTAAAAATATTATTTTTAAATTAATAATTTAGATAAATTAGGGGAAGAGAAAGCAAAAGAATTTATAATTTCATCAATATTTAATTGTTTAAATAAATTATTTTCTATTGATAAAATGGTTAAATTATTAAGAAATGGATCTTTCATGACACTACGAAGTCTTGTTTTAATTAGTTTAATTTTACTCATGACCCTTTCGGCAGTACATGGTGTAGTAAGAATAGTTAATAAATATTTATATAAAATTGTTAAATTTGGGAAAGCAGAAAAATTTATAAGCAGACGATAAGGTAAAATAAATGAATAGTTTCTCCAGTCTTAATCATTCATCTCAAAATTATTATCATCATCAGAAGAAGCTAAATAATGTATTAGTAAAAATATTTTAATTAAATAAATTTACAATTCTCAGAATCTGACAAATCTTCTTTAACCTCTAGGTCACGAGTAATAATTACGTCCCCCGTTTTAGCCATTTTATAAATATTTCTAAACATCAACATTTCCTCAAAAACTTGACTTGTATTTAATTGATAAAATTCACAGATATCCTTGATATCATCTTTAACAATTGCCTTTTCCGCCATTCCCTTTGGGGTAAAAAATGATGTTTGACTCAAAAATTTTATCGATTCATCGTTAAATCTTTAACTAAACTGCATAATAATTAAATCAAGTGCAGCATAAAATACACTGATTTTAAAGCTAAAATAAAATATTATATTTAATGATGAAAGTATATATATACCTCTCCTTTTTGGATTGTAATGTTTGAAGTCTTGAACTTATCAAAAGGTAAATTTCTCTTCTTCATAAAATCTTGGGCCTTTGAAAAGACATCCAAAAATTCAGTGTTATTATCTATTTTAGGATTATAAAATAATAAAAGATAATAATTTAAATTATACTTCTCATATTAATCAGGCAATCTTTTGCCAATTGAATTTGATTTATTGCAAACCCTATATCCTTCGAAATGGTTTGCAATTTTGTACAAGCCAAGCTAGTTATCAACAATATTTTATCCAAAACACATAGTGATAAAATAAAATCAAATTTTTCTATTCTATAGACTATAGCACTAGCCATAGTGGAAGTGGCAGGATCTTCAGAATCCTTTAAATTTGCCAAAGCTGCCCTCAAAGCATCATAAAGTAGGAAAAAATTTACAATCGCCTTATATGATGTTAGCCAGCTTCTATAAATATAAAATAAACATTATATATCGAAACAATTAAGATAATATTACCGAGTGGTATTCTTGATGCGTAAAAATCTATGTGATTTTGTCAGTAAATCACTCTGACATGTTTTGAGCACTTCATATCTTTTAACACCATTAAAATATACGTAAATTTCGTCTAATATTCCCAAGACATTTGGCAGCTCTTTTACTGATTGGCATAATTGAACAACTATTAAATTTAATCGATGACAATAGCACCAAATAAAAGCTGCCTTTGGCGCCTCCGCTCTAATCAAAGCCTGCACTCCATTAATTCTTCCACTCATGTTTGAGGCGCTATCATAGCTTTGCCCCACTAGGAATTCGAGGGGTAGATTCACGGAGCCAGGCTTGGATATTATATTCTCTTTAATATCGAGGCCCGTTGTATTTACCGTACAATAAATGTCTATCAGCCTTTCAACGGGCTTAGGTGTCTCGCTATTTTCAACATATCTCACTATCAAAGCTATTGCTTCTGATTTCGATACATCATATGTGCCATCAACTATAATTGATTAGCACCTGTTGAATTCAATCTCCTTTTGAATTTTTTTATAACCATATTTTTCATGGTTTCAATAAGAATATTTATGTTATTATATGATAACAGATTTGAATATAATTTAGATTTTAATCCCTTAATTTTTTTCTCACTTCTTATTTAATAAAAAAGATTATTTTGCTATTTGTCCAATTTTGAGAAATATTCTTAAAAGCCACTATTTCAAAGCTTTTCTTTATATCGTGAAAATTAAGCCCACCATGTCTTTTTCTAATATGATCTGTCCATTTATCATCTCTTATATTATGATATGTACAATTTTTAATCAAGCATTTATATTTTTTTTGGTTAATATTTTTGGGCATATTTTGACAATGATCTAAAAATTATAAATGATTATATATAAGATTTAATATTTAAATTTTTACTATTCCCCTTTGATAAAATTTTAATTTTGCGCCAAATCTTGAAAGTGGAAAAATAATTTTATGATAAGAAATATCGGATAACAAACTAATTTGCTAAACATCGACCATAAAAATTTTTAAAATAAAAAATTAAAAAATTTTTTTTTAAATTTTTAAATAAAAAATAAAAAATTTTTTTAAAAAAAAGTACCCCCATAGAAATTTATAGAAGCAGTTGCTTCGGACCCCCCCCCCCCGTTGTAGGGGTCACTGGCTATAAGAGATTAATATTCTACATTCTACATTTGGACAACAGAGATATATTGAGCACCTTTTTCGTTAAATTATTTTCATATATTTAAACTATTACTATCCAAAATAATTTCGCCAGATATTTATTATATAAATTTAAACAAATATAATATTATCCATTTATAATGAAATCAAAAGACTGGTGACACAAAATGAATTAATTTATTTTTGTTTTCATAAACTTATATTTTTATTTTATAGAAGAAAGTTTAATAGAGGAATACAATATTATTGCTCAAAATAAAGAGATAATTCTAAGAACATCCAGACTGTACAAAGAGTAAAAATAGTATACTACACGTTATCAGTGGCGTCACTATGAGGAGGCACAAGGGCTCGAGACAGGGTTGCCATGTCTCCCCCATCAGGGGAGACTCCCGCAATTTTTTAGTTTATACGCAGATATCTCTCTCCCGCAAAACTACCGCAATTGAAAATCTCTCGCAAAAATCTACCGCAATTTTTTAATTTCTCCCACATTTTTTTTTATTGTAACGTTTTTAATGTATAAATAATTTTTAAATTTTTAAAATAATGTCCAGTTTGTAAATTTCTTTCTATCCTGTTTTATATTTATCCAATAATAAATCAACATCATTTCATTCATATAAGTTAGTACAGGGGAGTATATCAACATCGATTGCAATACAAAGATATTCTCCAAAAATAATAAATATTACAGATGCAACTACAGTGAAAATCGTATACAACTATTATGTAGTTCAACATTCACAGAGGTATATCATTACAATGTGGGTCGAATCTTTCCCATGATATTTAACGACTCTAATATAATGGCAAATTTTACTTGTGGTAGAACAAAAATAAGCAAGGCTATCACAAGTGTTTTAATACCTGAATCCTAGAGGTTAATTCTAGACTATTTGAAAGATTGGCATCCATAAACAATTCTAACAGATGCATCTAATAAGGGAAATATTAAAACATTTCCCTTGATCCTTCACTATTTCAACAAGAATAAGAACATTTCAATAAAACTTAAAATTTTTTTCCTCGATAATGACAAATCCAACTATGTAGCTAACCACATAAATGTAAATACAGCTGATTCAGGGTTATCAATGATTTGCATGTTACTGCACTGATAATGCCTCTGTAAATTTTGGCAAAAACCAAAGTGTATTTACCGAATTGGGGCAGCACAATAATGAATTAATACCAATAACTGTATATGCCATATACTACATAATTCTTGCAAGAAGGCAATGAATGTAATATCTGTAGATGTCGAAATAATTGTGATGAAATGTTTTAATAAATTTAGTTCATCAACTAAAAGAGTTAATAAATTAAAAGAGTTGGTGGAGTGGTCTGACTTGGAATGGTGTGAGTTGTTGCGATATGTACCTATCAGGTGGTTATCATTAATACCTACCATCGATAGAATTTTAAAATTTTACAAACCCTTAAAAAAATACTTCTTAAATAAAGATTTTAAAAGCTGTCCAAAAATTTTGAAAAATATTTTCGAGTATGAAATGGCAGAAGCATATTTGGGATTAGTTTCACATGTAGGAAATCTACTTCATGCAGTTAATATTCAGTTGCAATCAGAATATTCTTTATTAATAAAGATTCACAAAATCAGGCTACAGCTCTGTTCATCTCTACAGTTAAAAATTGATAATAAATTTTATGGCGCTATTGCTAAAAATATTTTATTAAAATGTTCAAATACCTTGGAACAGAAACCATCAATTGATGGTTTTTGTAATTTAATAAATATATTAAAAATACCGTAAGCATTGATGTCTTGTTTGAGGAGATTGTAATTCTCTCTATTTTTTATGATTCGTTAGAATACTTAAAGTTAGATGGTCTAAAAGAAAAGGAGAAATGGGTAGAATTTTTTCGTAATAACAATAAATCCCGATGCTTGGAAAAAATATGCGAGTATGTCTTCTCCTTACCTCATTCTAAAGCCTCATCCGAGCACATTTTTAGCCTGATGAAGACTGCCGGGAAAAAGGAAAGAAATCGGATTGCTTTAACAACATTAGAGGCCGAGCTAATGGTTATACAAATATATAAAATGTCATGCCAGGAATTTTATAAATATCTCAATGTTGAGTTATTCTAATTATTATTTTTTTGTAATCTAATTTTTATTATTTTTAATTTGATTTTATAACTAATTTGCGTAACCTTGTTTTTATAACTTTCGGCGTAACCTTACTTTTTATATTTTATAATATATTTACTTTTTGTTTTTCGTTTGTATTCTAATTTATATTTATAGAAAATGTATATATACCTTAAGAAAAGAAAAAGAAATTTCAAACCTTAGCACGTTCTTTCATGCAAAAAGCTTCTTTCTTCATGGTGTCCCGGCTCTGGATGTTGGACTGTAGTATGATAACCAGCACCTAACCTAATGTGACAACCTAGGAAGAACTGATATGGAAGTTGAACGATAGGTTATGAATTCTATTTTGTGAGACCAATGATGATTACTTATTATTCTAATCCACGTAAGAAGAAAAGGTATTAAGAATTAAAATTTTATGCCAGGATATAGGAATGTTATAAATTTTTAAAATCACTAAAATGTAAAATCATAATGGATATATTTGAACACACAAAAAGCCTTTAAAAAATTATTTACTTAAATTCTTAGTGAAATAAACCATTAAAATCCTAAACAAGAAGATATAACTTTAATTTTAAATATATTAATATGTACTAAAAACATATGAATTAAAAGGGATTGATTTAAATAACCCTTATAAGTAATACTTAATATGATAAAAATGTTTTTGAAATAAACCTTTTGAAAGTATGAAGAATTTTTATTAAAAATAACACTTTTTGAATTAAAACTAGGGTGTGAAATTTAAATTTTTTATTTAAAGAGAGGGAAATGTGAATAATATATTTGCATATTTTAACCTCGGAGATAATTAAATTAAATACTAAAACGCAATAATTAAACACTAAAACGCGAAAAAATAAAAGTCATAAAAACGCGAAAAATTAAAACGCTAAAAATATAACACTCTTATTTTTTATCGTTATAATAAATTTAATATATTTAAAAATGTTTGAAAAATATATAATAATACTATTAAAAAAAAGAACGGAGATGGTGTGACGCAGGGAAACAAAAATGAAAAAGGGACGTAAGCGTTGTCTATGATAGCTCTTTGGCTAGAAGGCTACCATAGAAACTGATATAATTAGCTTTGTGAATCGCTATGGATAATCGTTGACGAAGAAAAAAACCTTCTCGGGGTTCTTCTGAGAGTTTGCTGATTTGTGATCCTAATTTTTTGAAAAATGCTAAGGCGAGTTTGCCGAAAGTGCCAAGAGTGGTTGATATGATTGGGATGAAGCAATGATCGTTTATTATTTCTGTGTATTTAGAAATTTTAAGTTGTTCCTTCTGGTCAAGGATGTTGATGGCGTGGTTGGATGGGGCCAAGGGGTCAATACAGGAATAGTCCCATACCAAAAGTTGGCCTCTCCTCCATGGGATTTGAGAGATCCCATCAGGACGTTTACCGTCAGATCTAAAAAGACCCTGTGGTTCTAACGTGGAAGGAATTTGGGCGGATTTCAGAGCATGTTGGATGATTGTATTACATTGCTTGTGTCTGATGAATCGTCCATTGCAGGAGCGACAATGTAAACTATGTCTACCCTTCGAGTCAACTGGCGAGTTGCACCCTGAGCAGATGTGGGGGTGAGTGATGGAACAATTTAGACGAATGCCGATGGCATGGGTAAATTCATTGTTGGATAGTTGAAGCTGAAGATTGGTAGATGGGATGGCCTCAAGAAACTCATGTCCCGTACCATTGAGCAAGGAAGAGAATAGGGTGCGGTCGGTAGATTGCATGCTAGATAAGAGAGTTTCAACGCAGCGAGCAACCACTGGTGCATCCCAGTCTTTCTGTTTATGGGTTGTGGGGGGATGAGAATCAGCATTGATCCTTGTTTTCCAAATATCCATAGCCACGATTAAGGAAAGGTCTTCTTTAGAATTATGGGCGGAGGTTATTGGCTTTGTCAAGAGACTACTCGATATGAAAGTAGTTGTTGCTAAGTCAAGTGGAGATCTGATGCCGAGACCACCAAATTTGGTTGGAAGAGTTGCTTGGGCCCAAGCAGTTTCGTTGAATCTGATATTTACTATTTTTTCGGTTAAGTCCTTTATTCCTTTTTCGTAAGTTTGGAGAGGAATAGGATATTTAAAAATTGGAGTTGACCGAAGTGCGTAAAGAATCCTTGGTATAAAAAAGAAATTTTTTAGCAAAAAAAAGGACTTGTGTGATGGAAGAAGTGTAAAGATGTCCTCCAGTTTAAGGAGTATGTCATGTGAGGAATGAAGAAAGGTGCTTATTGCCTCGTGTCCTCCAACAGGCGATCCTAGATGTGTTAATTCAACGCTTGATGTGAATTTGAAATCGTGAGTGTTGGGAGCATTAGAATTTAAAAGTGAGAATTCAGATTTGCTCTGGTTAAGCGAAAGTCCAATGGCTGTGCCCATTTCTTTAATTATGGTGACTGCTTTGGCAATTTCACTACTGGGACCACTCAAGATTCCATCATCAATATACCAAGCGTGGAGCGATAGAGTACATGAAGAGTTTATTGATTTTATCATGTCATTGATTCCAAGACTAAAGAGAAGGGATCCGAGAGGGTCACCTTGTTGGATACCCTCAACAGAAAGTATCTTTTCTTTGTTGAATTGTAAGATTGTTGGTGATTGGTAGCAAGAGAAAAGAAATTTGGTATAAGCTGGGAAATGGAAGCAAGTTGAATGTAGGAACGTGTTGCGCGAAAGAGTGTTGTAGGCGTTAGAGAAGTCAATTTTTACTAGGGATTCGTTTTTTGGGTTATTTTCAAGGTGAATTCTTGTTAAGTGCACAGCAGCTTCACACCCACCAGGTATCCCTACACCAAGTTGATAGGGGCTTAGAATGTGTGCGGCATCGTGTTTGATTCTAGATGCGATTAATTTAGCGACCAATCTACGGTAAGTTGAACCAATGGCGATGGGCCGAATGTCCTTGTTTGGTTTTTGGAGTGCGATGAGTCTGGCACCGAATAGTAAGGGGGTAATAAAGCTGGGTACGTCTCCATTTAGGATTTTGTTGACTAAGTTTGTGATTTTAGTGAGAATTGAAACCTGTGTACAGATCACAGGAGAGGTAATGTCCTGTAAAAAAATTAGTCTAATCCCATCTAGACCATGAGCCGAATCCCGATGAAAAGATAGGATTGCTTTCCTTACTTCTTCCTGTGTGAAATCTGCTGCACAATGGGAGAAGGGTTGGGGCAATATTGGCATAAATGTTGTTGTGGGATGCTTTGATCGAAGCTTAATTAAGGTTTCTAAATTGGATTCCGCCAGAGTGTCATTGGTTGAAATGAGTTTGAGGGCCCCATTGATATTAAGACTGTCAATTTTCTTCGAAATCAATGAGGCTTTTTGTTGAAGTGGGGTTATTTTTTTTTGTTTATGGGATGTCTGAAGATTTGGGACTCATGAAGATGAGTGTTGATGTTTAAACAGGCATCTTTTATTTGTTGTATTGATTTATCATTCTTCACTTATTTTTATATTTTGATGAACTATTATTTCTTATTATTCGCAACTTTCTGATGATAATAATGATTTTGAAAAATGGTAATAATATCAACGACACGATTTGTAAAACATTCGATGTGGATATCAAGCTCACGATTTAAACAAACCAACGTGCAAAATCTATTTATACAAACCAACGATTGGGACAAGCCAACGTTATGATAATTTGTGATACAACTTGATTACCAAAACGATAAACCACTTGGACAACAAACTCTCTATTACTTCTCCGATGAAATTATCAGAAGAGGGAGAATGTTGAGTTATTCTAATTATTATTATTTTGTAATCTAATTTTTATTATTTTTAATTTGATTTTATAACTAATTTGCGTAACCTTGTTTTTATAACTTTCGGCGTACCTTACTTTTTATATTTTATAATATATTTACTTTTTGTTTTTCGTTTGTATTCTAATTTATATTTATAGAAAATGTATATATACCTTAAGAAAAGAAAAAGAAATTAGTTAATAAAATATATTTTTACTGACTCGCACCTCGCGCTATATCGTTAGTTGCCTTATACTTTTCACTCAATAACGACGGTAAAGATTAGTTCTATTATTTAAATCTCAAATAAAATATAATTAAGTTTTAGCAATGGCGCCATAAAATTTATTGTCTTAACTGTAAAGATGAACACATGTGCAGCATAATTTTGTGAATCTTTGTTAAGATTATTCTGATAGCAACTACACATTAACAGCATGTAGTAGATTTCCTACGATCATTCCTAAACATACCTCTGCCATTCATTATTGAAAAAAATTTTCAAAATGTTAGGACAGCTTTTCTAATCTATATTTAAGAAATATATTTTTAAAGGTTTATAAAATTTCATAATTTTATCGATGGCGGGTATTATGAACAAATCGCAACCAACATTGTGCTGATTTAATTACTGAGGCATTATCAGATCAGAAAACTGATATGTAATTTATTGATAATCCCCAGCCTGCGCTATTTACCATTATATGGTTAACTATGTCTTTGGATTTTTCACTATTTGAGGGGAAAAAATTTAATAGTTTAATTGAAACGTCCTTATTTTTGTTGAAAAGCGGAGGATCTTCCCTTATTAGATGCATCTGTTAGAATTGCATATGTTTCCCATCTTTCAAATCGTCAAGAATTGACCTCCTGGATTCAGGTTCTAAAACATTGATGATATCCTTGCTCATTTTTGTTCTACAAAAAGTTTTCATTTATCTTGGAGTCGTTAAATATTATGGGGATAGATTCTACCTAAATTGTAATGATAAGTAGCTCTGTGAATGTTGTAATACAAGATAAGTGATTACAATTGCCACAACTGTAGTTGCATCTGGATCATTCCATATCAAATCAATCACTTTACAACCCGACCATCTCAGATTTTGTTGAAATTTGGTATTTAAATTAATAAAGTATTGTAAGTGACGAATCCAATGGAGAATATTTTTGTTTTGCAATGAATGTAGATACACTCCCCTGCACTGATTATAATAATGTGATTGAACTATAATAAATAAAATAATTATCATTGAAATGAGTATAATATTATCTTATTATGTATTTAAACTTGATACGTGATAATTAAGCGCCTATTCCTATAATGTTATACACATACACGGTAGATTTCCGATTGCGGTCTTGCGGGATATTCGCATAAAATATTGTAAAATTAAAATCGTTAGTTTTTTTATAAAATTTTATCTTTACATTCTTTTATATTTAAAAAAGATCGTTGGTTTTTATTTATAAATTAATATATTTTAATAAATCAAGATGTTATTTTATTTTGAAAAATATTTACCGACTTAGCATTTATATAAACTAATTATAAAAAATAATAGGCGGATAGTCTATAGGCCCGCAAAAAATATTTTTTAGCAATTTTTATATTTCTATTACAATTTACATATTTCTACCGCAATTTTCATATTTCTCCCGCAAAATACTAAATTTTTCGCGCAATTTAAAAATTTTGACTTGGAAACCCTGGCTCGAGCCCCCTGAAAAATTTGAATAGCCCCCTGAAGCAAAATAATTTTTTTAAATTGCTCCTAAATATCCCCTTGAACTAAAAATAATTTTTTTTAATTGCCCCCTGAACGATTTATTTTATAATTCTATTGAGTAATATATAGATTTAATTTTATTATTTAAAAATTAATAAAACTATCTAATTTTTTTATTAAATGAATACTATTTTAATTATTAGATTAGATTATGCATATAAATTATATGTTATATTAATTTAGCATTAACAGTTGAAGCTTAATTGACTTTTATTATTTTAATTATTATATAACCTTAAGTAAAAAAATATAATCATTTATTAATTGAAAATTAACAAATTTAATTTTGTAATTAGCCGAGTTCAAAATCACTAATCAACTACATTTTGATTTTTAAATTTAACTATCATGTTATCTTCCTAAAATTATTTTCAAGGTCCAAATCCAAATGAGTGTAAGATATTTATTTATTAAAAGTAAGTAATATAAATAGTTTATAATCCTTTATAATATATAATTATTTATAAAATATTATGTAAAATGCCACTTTCACAGACATATTTAACAATTATATTATATATTACAGTTAATAATTTTAATATTTTAATAATAAATGCTTTTGATGAAAAATATAAGTAACAATTTGCATTCAAATATTTAACGCCATCTATATATTATATATAATTTTAAAATTAAACTTTTTATTATTCATCCCACAATGGATGTAATAAATTAGATATATTTTCTTCTCTTTTTTTACGTGTTTTTAGGAAAGCTATTTTTTTTCTTCTTTGAAAAACAGTTTTGAGTTAAATTTTTAATACGAATATATTTTTGATATTATTACAATCCATTATTATTTTAAGATATAATATACCAGGTGGTGCGACAATAATACATAAAATCTTAATTACTTTCATCATATCACTCTGATTCTTATTTTAAAAATATTTCATTTCTAATATGACATCCTTGCCGTGTAAATAACTCAAAACTTCAATATATTTGCATAATTTCTTCTAAATTTACTGTTTTTATTTACCTAACATAATAAATTCTAATATGGGTTACCATTGTGAGTGTCATGGCTATTACTGAAAATTAAACAGCATCTATTATTTCTGTGACTATGTAATTTAAGATTATTACTATAGCTGCTGAGTGCATATGATTGCATATTTTAGATAAGCAATAATGGTCAACTGTGTAGTCGTTTATATATCATTAAAAATGGAAGATAATCTTTTAGAAATTTAATATCTCACAAAAATTTTATCGATTACTTATCTAGCTTCCATCATGTCATCTAAGAGGAAGCTCTAGCCACCATATAGTTTTATGATTTGGATTTATCGTTTTTATTTTCTTCTCCAAGAATTGTTGATTTGGTTGGCCTCGCAAATTAAGGGGTATGGGGGGCGAAGCTCCCCACAAATGAGCCGCCTGAGATTGTAATGGCTAGCGACGCCCTTGCACGTTATTATATCAAAAGAATTCAAAGAAATTTTTATATGCATTCCCAATTACAACACAATGCAGATATAGAGTTTCCCGTTTAGCTTTAAGCGAATGTTGCCCTATTCCCTCATTTTATCTGCTCTTTAAAAATATTGATATTGATTTTAAGCTTCCTGATTTATTTGAAAACAATCATTACAATAAAAATTTAAATATCTTTCATAAAATTAAAAAATTTTCCAATAATAATGATAATATTACTGAAGTAAAATTAATGAGGATGCTGAAGATTTATCCAAGGATATATACAGTCAAGCCATTGTAATCAAGTGGACAAAACTATTTTATTAAATTCCAACTCAATTTGAGCATTATTTTATAAATAAATAAATTTAATATCGAAAGGGATCAAAGATCCATCTACAACTTACAGCTTTGGTAGAAGAGAATAAATGTGAAACACAAATATAATATTAGCTAATCTTTTATATATATTATTTGCATGACTATTTTTTTATAATATTTTTGGTAACTCTTTTTATAGATTTTTATCTTTATTTGTATATAGATTATATATTTTTTATACATGTTGAATATATCGATTTTATAAATCTGAATAGATTTATTTATTCATTTATTGCAAATTAAGTTAATTATTTTAATTTTAATGCAAGATATATTTGAGTTTAGTTGATAAAGAACTATATGTAAGTAAATTGCAGCGTCTACATAACAGGATATTCACTATATGCAAACCTACTGCAAGAACCTATACCTACCCCCCCCCCTTGCGGCGATATTTTCACATTATAAATTACAAGTTTTAATAATAATGATACTCCCTTCATAAATTTTAAAAAAGATAACCTAAATTATTAATGCTCTACTACCAACTAACAAAATATTGTGAACGTAAAAGAGTTATTTTTTTTTGAACATGGATTCAATTAAAAACTCTCACATTTACAATGAATGCATTATTATAGTATATTGTTTGGCATGAATAATAGTTTTCTGTTAGAATCTTAAACCCTATTAATTTATAATTAAAGGGATAGAAGAAAGGGATCCAAATTGTTTTATTTGAAAAATAATATCTATGATTGTCTGCAATATATAGATTTTATCAATGTTCAACGATGTTAATGTATAATAAATATAATAAAAGTATTAATTTTTAAAGCAATACATTTAGCTCTATTTTAGCTAAAAATTTAATAGATAATACGCCAGTAAATTCATCCTACCGCTTATCTACCCACCTTAAATGCCTACTAAATAAAATTAGGATGCAAACTTTTTTTACCCACACCGCTCATGTAGATCATGGTAAATCAGTGGCCTCTACACTTTCTGAGGTGGAAGCAGAATACCCCCTGAGTACTCCCCGCCTTCTCGAAAAGATGGTTATTTATTTTTTGACACCCATAAATTTAAAAATATTTTTTTTGCATCAATCTTTAATATATAATATAAATAAAATGTAAAAAAATATTATTTTTAAATTAATAATTTAGATAAATTAGGGGAAGAGAAAGCGAAAGAATTTACAATTTTATCAATATTTAATTGTTTAAATAAATTATTTTCCATAGATAAAATGGTTAAATGATTGAGAAATGGATCTTTCATGGTACTACGAAGTCTTGTTTTAATTAATTTAATTTTACTCATGACCCTTTCGGCAGTACATGAGGTAGTAGGAATGATTAATTAATATTTATATAAAATTCTGAAATTAGGGAAAGCAGAAAAATTTTTAAGTAGACGATAAGGTAAAATAAATGAATAGTTTCTCCAGTCTTAATCATTCATCTCAAAATTATTATCATCATCAGAAGAAGCTAAATAATGTATTAGTAAAAATATTTTAATTAAATAAATGTACAATTCTCAGAATCTGACAAATCTGACAAATCTTTAGATTTTTTAACCTCTAGGTCAAGAGTAATAATTACATCTCTCGTTTTAGCTATCTGTAAATATTTTGAAACCTCAACATTTCTTCAAAAATATGACTTAAATTTAATGGTAAAATTCACAGATACCCTCGATATCAACTTTAACTATTGACTTTTCCGCCATTCCCTTTGGTGTAAAAAATGCTGTTTGATTTAAAAATTTTATCGATTCCTAAATCTTTTATTAAATTGCATAATAATCAAATCAAATGCAGCATAAAGCATACTGGTTTAAAACTAAAATAAAATATTATATTTAATGTTGAAAAAATATATATATACCTCTCCTTTTTGGATTTTAATGTTTGAAGTCTTGAACTTTCAAAATCAAAAGTTAGATTTTTCTCCGTAATAAAATATTGTGCCTTTGAAAAAACATCCAAAAATTCAGTGTTATTATTTAATAGGATTAAAAAATAATTAAAAACAATAATTTAAATTATACTTCTCAAATTAGTCAGGCAATCTTTTGTCAATTGAATTTGATTTATTGCAAACCCTATTTCCTTCGAAATGGTTTGCAATTTTGTACAAGCCAAACTTGTTATCAATAATATTTTATACAAAACACAAAGGGATAAAATATCAAATTTGTCTATTCTGAAGAGTGAAGACTATTGCACTAGCCATAGTGAAAGTGGCAGGATATTCATAATCCTTTAAATTTGT